ACAGAGTGAGAGAAACTTGCTTTATCAGGAATTCCCCACTGCCTACTTTTAAAAATGCAGATTTTCCCATAAATGTGCATTAATCTTAACAAACTTGAAATTTTACTTACTGTATCTCTGTTCCTAGAGCTGAAATTGATGATGTTGGTGAAATATATAATAAAAAAATTATATTAAAAAAATCTGCACATAAGACAAATATGATCTAAAAATGAAAAGTGTATAAGACTACCCCCTGTTTTAATTTTCTATTTTAAGCCTCGTCTTAAGTGTGAGAATATACAAATTCATAAAATTGTTACCATAACTAAATTATTATTTTGTATCCTACAGGTGAATGAACTGGAGTACTCCTTAAAGCAAGCAGAGGATGAGAAAGAGCTTCTGGAATTCCAACTACTGGAGACATCTGAAGGAGATGACATCATTGAGACAGGCTCACCAAGAGCAAGCACGCCAAGAATAATGGTAAATGTTGGCAAGAGGTTCCAAGTTGAGAAGATTTTAATGAGATACAGAAAAAAATTGCCTTATAAAAGATATGAAGCCACCCATAATCAAAATATACACTTAAAAATAGAAATTTCCATAATTTTTATATCTCATTAATTTATTAGCTTTTAACTGAAAAAACATAAATTTATGCGCATTTCAATAAATAATACCTTTCACAAAATATTTTTTGCACCATTATATTTATCATAGAAAATAATGATTTCTTAAAAATTAGGAATTGAATTGTTTATTTAATTTTTTTATATTTTCTTTATTTTTTGGGCGGCTGTTACCTATAACACATCTTATTGTGTTTTGCTAGGCCGAGTAATACTTATGGCAAATTGAATCATCTAATGGGGCACCTAGATGCTAGGCTATGCACCCATTGGCACTGAATTTTATGAGACAACATAATAAATTAGTAAAAACGTACAAATATGAATTTGTGGGGGATTGGTTATTTTCCGGTAGATCTTTGCTTGTTTGGGGGAGTGCAGTAGACTTGGGACCACTTTAAACGTTACTAGAAATGAGTGATGAAATTGAAATATTTGCTGTATATTTTAATAATAATTTTTTTTTTTTTTTGATTAGATTACTCACCATTTAAGCACAGATGGAGCTGGACTCCAGTATGCTTGTACTCTAGACAGTTTTGATGTATGTATTTGGAAATTATATATACAATAATCCTTTGAACATACTTACATTTTCAACACAATAGAAGGATATCTTGTTGGATAACATCTGTTGGAATACTTCTTTAAATGTGTTACTTTATAAATTCTTCTTTAGCCAATAAA